TGAGTGAAGTTTAGGCACCTAAATACAAGTGACTGGTGACATATTTAATACCCAAAGATATCTGAAACATCCCCACAGGACAGACCTGTGTGACATAGGCTGAACAGGAAATCTGTGCCATCTTACGGCATGGTAGAATAGGGATCTAAATTGGTATGAAATATTTGCATTTAGGCAAACAAATCTCTTTACATCAATTCTTCCAAAACCAGAATTCATTTTGTCTTTCAATTGCATACATCAGCCTTGTACTCTAATAACAAAAGTGGAGTGCTGCACGCCTTGAGTCTGATCAGGTATGTTGTTTCTTTAAGTCCAAAAGAAGTTTACACCTGCCTTCCTTTTTGCATGTATCTGGAGACTCTTACTGTGCTTTGTTTGGTTCTACTGTTTCAGTGTCCTTGGCAGCAGCTCAGAAATGGCTGGGACTTATGAGTGGCATTGCTGTTTATTAAAAGTCATTTTAGCTCTACATTTCTTGTTTTTATCTTTTTTGTGATTGGTTTGGGTTTGTTTGGGGGGTTGGGCTTTTTTGTTTTTTGGGTTTTTTGGGGGTTTTTTTTGTGTTTTTTTTTATTTGTTTGTTTGTTTTTTAATGCTTGTATGGGTTTTTTGGGTTTTTTTTTGTGGTTTTTTTTGTTTGTTTGTTTGTTTTTTAATGCTTGTGTTTTGTTTCCCACTATACAAAATGACTAGTGGAATTCCCAACAACTCACATTACAGAAACTAAACTTCTGTGTGCTGGATAAACACATGGAATACCAGACAGCACATTTGCCTGCCACCTTCCTTCCATAATAATTACATGTTTTGTGCAGTATTCTGAAGGCATGTGAGGTCAGAAATTACATTTTTTTGTGTAAGGTGGAATTCCAGAAATAGGGCTGTAAAAAGTATCAGCAGTACTCTGCTGTTGTGAAACATCGCCTGTTTAATTTATCTAAATGGTTAATAATTTATGTGATGTTTAAAGTCATCCACTTGTCAACTCCCTTCCAGAAGATTACATCTAGTGCAGTAGCTGTAGTGGTACTGGGGGTAGTTATGGACAAATGAACCACATAATATACTGCTGCAGTTATTTCTGGAAGTGAGCGCACCGCCTCCAACCACCATTAGATGCAGATGTAGCCACTGTAACCCTCGCGTAGGCAACACTCACCCTGCGCTATTACAGTTCTCTCTAGCAAGGAACTTTAGGCCTCAGTTCAAGGTTGGCCAGTGCAGATTGCATCACCTAATGCATTGTTTATTACAGACGTTCTGTGTGACTGATTTCATGCAGCCCCAGCGCGAGGGAGCAGAAGCCACATGTCACATGTCTGACCCGTAGCTCACAAGCCCTACATGCCACTCAGTCAACCCTGCGCTGAACCTCATTATCTGCTCTTGGCTACAACAACATTTCAGAAATCACAAGCTCTTGATTTGATTTAATTTGATAGATCTGAAGGGTATCATTCTAAAACAACCTGCACAGGATTTCATTCCAATCTTGTGTTAGAGTTCAAGGCAAAATTCTATCAGGGGGATGTTCTGACAGAGCTATCACAGGGAATCACAGAACTTGCTATTGAAATAGCAAACACTGTTGTCAAAGCTGGCTATAAAATCCATCTCTCTACTCAAGTTTGTTACAAAAGTATGCTAAAGTATTCATGTTTTTCAATTGAAAAAAAAAAGTCCAAAACCAAACAACAACAGAAAAGAAATGCAAATCTGCTTCTTGATAGCAAATGCCGAAACAGGGAATGTAGTGAGGGGAAACACTGGATTTTTACTGTGCTGTGGTTTGTGTAGCTGTACACTGAGATTCAGATTAGGTTGAAAAGCAGCTAGGGGAAATGACTGAGACTGGTGGTACTGATTTAATCCCTTGGAGCCTTTTCCTTACCTACAATAAAAGGTACACATTTTAACAATAACTGTAAACTTAACATTCAGTTCAAGCTCTAGTAATAGGGAAGACTCCTCACAAAATGTTCAACCACAGATACTTTTCAAAGACTTATGCACTGCTGCCAGGAAGTTAGCTAGTGGTATCTCCACTTGTGGTCACTGGATAAATTTGGCTCTCATGAAGTACTTGAGCCCATTTTCAAAATTATAAATGGGCTTTTGAAATGCTCAAGAAGGAGCAAGAATGCACAGCTCATTGTATGAGATTCATTTGCTCAACACATTTTAAGTCCATTGAGATAATAAATACACATAAATTGGCACATGCCTTTTTTACAGAACAAATTACTTTGTCTTAGGGTGATCCTCAGCATTACTGCTGATGCAATTTATTTTGGGGGGCTTTTGGAGAAAATGTATGGGGAGACAAGACATGCCTGGCTGTAGCCTTGCACTGAAAAAAGTAGCTATTTCTGTGGCTTCAGTCTAGTACTTGAATAGAAATAATTCCTTTCTCTACTACTGCAGCTACAACAAATGATGGTGTAAAGGTAAGCGATTAGCTCTCTTAGGGCAGCGAAGCTTTTTGTGATAAAACTATTATACATATATTGTGAGTATTTTGATAAAAGCAAGGGAGGATGTGTGGAAGGGGACCAAAAAAAACCCCAACAAAATCCTCTACAGTTTTTGAGTATAATAAGAGGTAGTTTGGATTTTTTGAACCTCCACTTTGTCAGTAATAATTGAGTTTACTCTAATTAAAGACATAATTTTGTCACATTAATCAAGTGTTGTGATTCTAAATAGCATACAGGCTTTTGAGAACTGGAGAGCTTGATTTTCTGGAAGTGGGGTGCATACTGAATAGCTTGAATCTGTTGCAATTTTTCTCAGTATATATTTTAATTTTACTTGATAAACACCTGGATGTGATTATGACTAAGAAAGGTAAAAATTAAAAGACAGGGAATAAAGCCTACTGAGTTGAGTATTGAAGAATACACAGAAATTTAGTTTAGTCTTCTCTCCCCTTTGCTCTCAGAACCAGTCTTAAAGGTGCAAAACTTATTATCCAACATAAACAGAACAGACAACTGGGGATGCAAGCATCAAATAGCTAACCCAGGACATTGGGAAATGGTAAATCTAACAACAACTGTGTTGCACAAGCATAGCAATTATCAAAAAAAACCCCACACTAGACAGCTTAAGTGTATTTATGATGAAAAGGAAACCAAGTCACACAGCTCAACAAATGTTTTGGTGCTAGGTCTTAGCAGAAATCTGTCAGTCTTTTAATATCAACTCTATTAACTGTTCAGAGATTACTGGGTTTGCACTTGTTCAAAGAAAGAGTTAAAAAAGGTTACACTTGAACAGATTCTAGGTCAAATGCTCTCAGATATCTTTAGCCAAGGCTCAGGAAACCATTTTCATTCTTACAGTTGTTTGCAAAGAGAGACAGTAAGGCAGAAGAACCTTTAGTTTCATATTCTCATGCATGCAATATTTCCAATGCCTACACTGGAACAATCACATAGGTCCTTCTGTGCCTCAGTATTCCACTGACTGCATTCCCCTCGTGCAATGTTATTCCCAGAGAAAGCACTGGCAGCAGCAAGCATCAGGACAGACTATGAGATATATGAAAAAACAATTTAAGCAAATTTGTTTCTTACAACATGCAAGTGAAATTATAATAGCATGACATTTTTATTGATTTTTTCTAGAAGCGGCATTGCTGCTGCCATGACTAATTGGATTATCACCAAAGTTATCTTGAAAAATAAAGTATTTAATTTATTTGCTGTTATTCATTCTAATTGTGGTTTTTATTTGCCTGGCATTTTAAAACAATTACATGACTAAGCCAAAGGCACAAAAACATGCCATGTATGTCAGGTTGCAGCTCTGTAACACATTGTACAGAACAGGTGAAAAGTCAAAATGTATTTACTTTTTCTCACTGAACTTTTCAAATGCTGATTAATATCAGCATACAATTGCCACTTGCAGGTTTTTATCTCTTTCCAATATCAGTTTTCTACCTAGAACACCTATACCATTTGTCCTGCCTTCTATTCTTCTGAAGACAATAAGGTTTAATATGTCACAGTTATGCCTGGGAATCAACTAGGCAGGACCACAGTGTCCTGGTCTCTGCAGTTTTATAAAAGGATAGCTTCTCACAAGAAACGAGCAAATTCAGTCAATTATCTGACCCTACAAAATTCCTGATATATTTGCCAGACTGTATATAAGAACTGTTAATCAACTCTGACTTCTGCTGTAAGTGTAACAGAATGAGCTGTTTGAAGGACAAGGAATCCTTCATTTCATTGAAAATGAATGTCCTGCAAAATCATCTGTGACTCAGCCAAAATGAAAACTGCGAGTATTGCTTCTATGACACAAAAATCTTTCTCCAGAATTGAAATCTTGGCTTGTGTCTGATGATTTTTTCAGCAGATTCAGGAAAACACCAAAGGATTTGCCTCAAAACATTCTACATTTTTACCAGTCTCACATCTCAGTTACTGCCCCTGACCATGCCAAGGACAGTCAGAGGGTTTCTATATGGTGCTGTCTTCACCAGGGGCTTTCAGTTTTTGACCATGGGATTGACTGACCTAAACAGTACTGCCCACGCTGCTTGGTGCCATCAAACTGTTCTTCATACAGCAAGGGGTATTTTTTATTTTGAAATCGGACAAATGCTTATAAGGACAGCCATGGAACTGCCATAGAGGGATTTGTGTACATCAAGCAGAGCAGGATCAGGCTGCTGTGGAGCAGCCCTGGGCACGAGGGAAAACCTTTCCACAATCCACCGTGCTCCAGGCTGTGGCTGGACGTGGCTGCTGGGCCCAGCCCGGAGCCCAGCCTCCTCACGAGCGCTTTTCTGGCACAAGGCGACGGGTTTGTCCCCCGGCCTCGGTCATTCCCTGTTTCTCCAAGGCATGTCCATAAATTCCCGATGCACAGAGGGATGTGTCAGTTTAGTTAATGATTTGCCAGGCGCTGAGTCGCGTGTCAGGCCCGTCCGGCGGTGCGCGGCTGGAGCCCGCTGCCCGGCGCGGGGCAGGAGGTCACGGGCCATGCCGGGGCCGCGCTGCCCGCGGTGCCCCCCTCGGGCGGAGCGGGGGGACCCGCCGCCCTCGCCCCCCGACAGGTAAGGCCGGAGCCCGGCGGGCGCCGCCGCCCTGCCGCTCCCTCGAGGGCCGCCCGCTGCCGTCGGGGGGCGGGCAGCGCCCTGCGGGCGGGACGCGGGGCTGGCGGGGCCGGGGCGCGGCGGCCTGGGGAGGGGGCGAAGCGCAGGAAGGGGCGGCCTGGCTCTGGACCGGCCCGCACTTCCCTAGAGCTCAAAAGTTGTTTCCCGGCCCTACAGACACTTTCCTCCGCTGCGGATGCGTGCGTGTCCCACCCCCCACCCCCCTTTTTATTTTTGAGGTTTCTCAGCCTGAGGTGAAAGGAGCCGGCAGTGCCGAGCCTGCCTTGTCAGGCTGAGCCAGCAGCTACTTTGTCCCTGCAGTGTCTTTCTCAGAGTGTTGGTGAGATAAAACCGCTTCGGCGGGAGCAGTGCCGCTGTCAGCGGTGTGCACCCCGTTTGTTACCTCTCAGGCTGCTCTTGAAGGCACTGGTCTCTATTCTTAGTAAAGGAAGCTATGAGCTGGGTTTTTCACGAAGCAACTGAAGATGAGTTTCGGTAGACTGAAGTTTACAAAATCTTAAAATACTGCATTACAGGATTTTTTGCTTCTCCTAAAGCAAAATATCACTTTAAATGAATCCTTACCACTTTGGTGAGGAATTTCCGTAAGTGAAGTATCTTCTTTCTGTGTTGTAACCTTATTCTGATGGTTTCCCCCACTTGGTACTAATTACAATATGAAATCTGGAATGATAATAAAGAAGGTAATAAAGTAAAATATGAGGCTTGGGGGCATTAACTCACACATGTAGAAAACTCTTGTAATGTGTTGGCTGATGCAAATACATCAGGTGCTTTGGGTGCAGGTTTTCAGATGAAATCAAGTAGACAAAGTGCTCTTAAATATTTTATGTGAGAAAACCATTCACTGTAATGTACACAGCAGTCTAAACAACCACATTATTAATGTGATACTTTAAACCCGTGCATAACTGGGCTCTTAGGCAAGTACTGTAGTGATTACCTTCCCTACTCCTGCAAATGCTGGCTGGTGATACTTCTGACATAATCCTGTTTCAGCAGACAGCAACAACTGAGACATTTATTTTGTGATGGAGCTGCAGAGATGCCAAGAGAAAACTAACTGAAAACAGAAATGAATGGATTGCTTTGCACTATTTTCTCTTGTCAGTCACTTTGATTCAATTCTGCTTAGAAAAAAGTTTCCATTTGTTTAAAATACTGTTTTGATATACTTGGAAAGTTTTGCTGAGAAGTTACATGCATCTACTGTTGTAATATGTGTACATAGGGAATGGCATAAACACAGGGACAACAAAATATTTACTAATGTCCTTAGAAGCCAATATAAATATATCTCTGCTCTTACTCTGCAAAGACTTACGCATATTCAAACAACTTTATATTCAGAGCTGAATACTTGGATTGGTTTCAAGTAGTGCTAGGCACTGTATTTTAATATATTCAGCCTACTGATTAAATAAAATAACTCCAAAAAAGAAAGCTAATTGCTGCACCCAGGAAGCATCATGGTATTAGTGCCTTATTAGTTCATGTATTCTGGTTGGGTATTGCAATTTTAACAGCAGCTGTTACAATTATTGCTTGATATTATGTATTCTGTTGAAATAGGAGAACAAAGAAAGGTGACAGTATTTTGGAGAACCCATCGATTCCAAATCCTTTTCCTGAGCTGTGTTGCTCGCCGTTTGCATCAGTTTTGTCAGCCAGTCTGTTGCCCAAGGCAACTTCAAGAAAAAAGCAGGTAAGATTTATAAATTATTGTTTGACAGTTTCTAAATTGGTTAAATGAAAGCTTGAGGAAAAGCTCAGTTATCTATTAAATTATTTTATTAAAATAGAGGTGTTCTTATTTCTGTAATTTGGTGAATTTTTTTCTGTAGGTCATCAATGATTGTAGAAAATGAGGTTTTGGAATCTGTGACTTAAGACATGACTGTTCTTTCACAGAGTGTATGGGTGGCTCTGCAGATTTTTCAATTTAAGTGGAACCAGGGGCAGGCAGGCAGTACTTTATGTCCTTAAATGAGAAGTTAATTTCTTTTTTCCCTTCCTCCCCACCTGCAATTACTGTCATCAATGTTACAGAACAGAGGGTTTTAGCAGTCACTGAGCAGCTTTTCTGAAGTTCTAATTTTGCCAGGATAATGGGAATAACCTAAATGGATGGGGAAGGAGCAGATGCTGTGTACCTGGCTATATGTTATATGCATGTGTGTTTATCTGTGTATGGCTGATGTTACTATATTTCTATAAAAGACCTTAAACTATAAGCCAGGGGAAGATTTGAGTGGGCAGAAAGACCTGGCAGTACTGTTCAGACAGAGTTTCCAGTTAATGGAGGTTAGTTACTGGTGTCGGAGATCAGTTTCGCTCTTTGAAAGCAGACCATTCTGTCTTCTCTTCTTGAGACTGGAAATAGTTCTGACAAGGAACATCTGTGGAATTAAGATTACTCCCTCCTTCACACTTGCTGTTTTGCTGGTGTGCATGATCCCTGTTTTAATATTTTTAAGGGTGATATTGGAGGTGTAAGAACTTAACCTGCTGCTGGTTATTCCGTTTTTAGATTTGCATGAAGAATATGCCTGGAAGTTGAAGTTTCTTGTAGATGTATTAACTTTTCTGAAGCTAACCTGCCACAGCTGTATCTGTGCACCTGCCAGAGAACTTTGTTAGCCAAGTTGTGGCTTGCACCCTAAGCAGGAAACTTCTCCTCACTTCTCCAGTGAAAAACATGTATGTGTCTGGGAAACTGCCCTGATTCGATCTTGCCCTATTCTGCATGTCCACCATGGTGTCTCTCTATAAGCTGTGGTGTCTTTGTGGACTACTTTTATTGCTTTTGGTACTTGTCCTACAATAGCAATACTAATCTGATGCATTCTGGCCAGTGTGCATCTAAATGTTGCTAATGCAGTAGGATAAAACTGTTCTAGTCTTCTTGGGCAAGGTGGAAACATTGACTGTCTCTGCAGAGGCAGGAAAAACACTGAATTGGTAATATTATCTTTCAGAATAAAAGGACTAAAAGTCACATTTTTAAATAGATAGCTTAAATTAGTCATGTTGCAGGCCTAAATCACAGTCATTGTGGTAATCTTTGGACTTGAAACTGGGAAGCATGATTTAACACACAAAGGTCAACTGCTTGTGTGGCCAGTCGTATTTAACATTACTGACAGGCTTGATTGGTTAAACCAGCTGTGTTAGCTTCAGTCTTCCAGAAGGTGAAGTTCATATCTTCACTGACTTTACTTCTTCTTCTTTCTAAAGGTTCATTTGTACTTCTTGTGATGATTTCTTCTCACAGTCCTTCCATTTCTCCTGGATTTTCATTTAAGAATGTAGTGCTCCTTCTGGTAAAAGCAGGAACAAGAACAACTGGTTTCCTGACAGAAGTGAGCTAACATAATGCTGGTGTCTGTTGGAGGGTCTGACCTGTTTTTCAGCTACCAGAAAAATGGAGAGAAATATTCCTGTTACTTTTGTGGAGGCATTTTAACAAAACTATTATTTCTGTCCCCTAGGTGTCTGTTTATGGCCATCAACAAGAGAAATTAAAGGGAGAAAATGTACTAGGCCAAGCACACCATTTTTAGACTCAGCATGACTGTTGTTGCATTCTTCATCTAAATTATTAAAGTTAAGGCCAAATGGCAATGGTCAAATTAAACTTTTATCTTTGAAATTCAGGTTGAAGTCTTCTAATAGGTTAAAAATTACTCAGGTTTACAAAGAGAGGAATGCTAAGCAGGTGTGCAAAGAGAAGTGAACTGGCTGTGACTTTGACTGCCCACAGGTGGCTGTGGAACTGTGCTTGGAAATGTTTCCACCTCCATCCTTATTTTGTCAACTTTGTAGCAGCTCTGTGTGCAAATACATATCTGTATAAAAAAATTTGTGACTATTACTGTTACAGTTTGATAGTTCACTAATTTTTAAGAGAAACCAGCTACTCTTAGGAATTTTTTTTGTGCATAGCGTTGACAGCTGCCAGAATTCTTTCTCCTCTGATGATCTACATATGTTTTCAGTGGCTCTTCTTTTAGATTGCTTACTTTTGATTTAGTTTCTTTTTCTTCTGTGCATTTAATTTCAAGCATAGGCAGGAAAATTGCAGAGTGAATTTCTACTTATGTCTTGTAGGTAACTATTATCAAAATGGGTGTTTCTAAAAGAAAAAAAGAAAAAAAAAAGAAAAGATGCCTCTTCTGTCTTGTTTTTCTCTCCAAAAAAGATTTTCTGCTTCTGTAGAAGAAAGAAGTTGTCATGAATATCTGCTCTTTTATTCATAGCACCTGTGACATCTGAAATCTTTCTACTTCGAAATAGATTATTAACGTTATTTTGAATTCTTGTTTTTCTAAGCTGAAATTCTTACTGTCTTCTAATGATCTTTTATCATAAGCCTCTCAAAACGTTGAACATGCTGCTTGAACAGCATGTTTGTGGGGTTGACTCACTGAAAATAAGTTTATAAAAGCAAATTGGTAAAAGCCACGTAGCAGAATAGTGATTTGCCTCTGTGCTTGGGAAGTGGTGTGTCTATGTCTCTGAAAATTATTTGGTTTGCCTCACCAACACAGCTTTCCACCTCTTTTCTCCCCTTGCAGTTTGGAAGAGTTTTGTGTTATATCTTTGAATCACAGAATCATTAAGTTTGGAAAAGACTTCCAAGATTTTTGAGACCAACCTTTGACTGAACACCACCATGTTTGATTAACCATACCACTAAGTGCCGTGTCCATTAGTGTCTTGAACACTGCCGGGGATGGTGACTCTGCTGCCTCCCTGGGCAGCCTGTTCCAGTGCTTAACAACCCTTTCACCAAAAAATGCGGAAAAGCTGTCAGCCCACAGCTTGGACAAGTGCACTCTTCCCTGGGTTGAGAACTGTCTGCATGGCCAGGTGATGATGATGAGAGTGATGGTGAATCTGCTGCATCCAGAGGGTGTCTGGTCACTAGAGGTGTCCCCCAGAGTGGAGTGTTGTAGTCTTGTTTATCTTCACTGATGATCTGAATGAGGGCATTGAGCCTACTATTAGCAAATTCAAAGACCATGGAAAGCTGGGTTAGATTTTGATCTGCTGGAGGGCAGGAAGTCCCTGTGGAGGGACGTGGACAGGCTGGATCAATGGGCCAGACCACGGGCACGAGGTTCAACATGTCCAACTGCTGGTCCTGCACCTGAGATACAACAACCCCATGCAGTGCTACAGACTGAGGGCAGAGTGGCTGGTAAGTGGCCCAGCAGAAAAGGTCCTTGGGGTGCTGGTTGACAGCAGCTGACCATGAGCCAGTGTGTGCCCAGATGGCCAAGAAGGTGAAGGGCATCCTGGCCTGTATCAGGAATAGTAGTTCCTGCAGGGCCAGGGAGTGGTGAAGCCACACTTTGAGTGCTGTGTCCATTTCTGGGCTCCTCACTTGGAAAAAGGACCTGGAGAGTGTCCAGTGAAGGGTAACAAGGCTCATGAACGGACGAGAGAATGTGTCTTGTGAGGAGTGGCTGAGGGAGCTGGTTTTGGTTAACCATAAGGAGTCTCAGGAGGGACCTCATTGCTCTTTACATCTCCCTGAAAAGACACTGAGTGAGGTGGGGGCTGGTCTATTCTACGGTGCCTGCAGTGACAGAGCACATGGAAGTGTTCTTAAACTGAGGTAGGGCAAATTCAGATTAGAGAATTGAAAAATTTTTTTACTGTTAGGGCGGTCAGGCATCAGAGTAGGTTGCCCAGTGCGGTAGTGGAGTCACCATCCCTGTTTCAGAGGCATCTGCATCTGGTGCTGGGTGATGGTTTTGTGGTTTAGGGGTTACAGTGGTGGTGCTTTGGTTGACATTGGACTGGATGACCATAGGGTATCTTCCAAACTGTGTGATTTTCTGATTCTGTGAAATGTGTTCAGATAAATGAATTCCATGTTTCAGGGAGGAAGACTTTTATCTGAATAGGCCAAAAAAACCATCTTTCCCCTCATGTCCACCACAGTATGGTCAGTTTGGTGGATGGCGGGAAATGTTGCCTTCCTCTGAGGAATCAAGCATCTGCTGCTTTTAGGTGGAATTCATGAACTTGCACGGAAAATTTAATTGTGCCTCAGAGCTTGTGTTCTCTAAGAAATTACAAGGAACTAAAAATATAAAACACTGCACTTCTGTCTTTAATTATGATCAAAATAAATATTAGTAGGGAAAAGTATGAATTGTAAGAAAACTTATTCTGTTCTTGTTGTCTTTGGTCAAATGAACTAAGAAGAGGTTACTCTAGCTTTATGGAAGCTTAATTTTTTTGCTTTCTGAAAACAAAACCTGAATATTTTCACTGCAGTGTCAGTTCTTGCCCTGCTCAAGGATAAGCCAAAAAGTGTTTCATGGCAAAAGTAGTTCAAGGTAATTAGTGCCTTGTTTCTTTAAATTAAATTAGAAGTGCAAAAATAAAACTCAAGTAAATCTCAAGGTGAAGAAAATCTGAAATTTTACCTTGCCTCTTTTGTCTTTCTTGATGTTCTAAACAAGTAGATATTTTTATCCTGTAGAATCCAAATATACTCCCACAATGTTCTTTCCAGGAAATCAGTTGTATGGAGACCTCAAATACATGTGATTGTAGTGGAATTGACTTTGCTTTTTGTATTCATAAAGATTTTTATGTGAAGCTCTTTGACAAAGAAGAGCTAACAGGAACTTTATGTTTAAAAGCAGATTTTTTATTTTAAATGTGTACTGTTCTAAGTTAATGAAT